ACATGAAACGCTGGAACAAGTGTCTCAGATGTTATGACTCACCATGTCTGAGTCGTCTTCGTCCTCCTCACAATGTCTCTCGGCAGCACGGGGGTCTCCCACCACCCTCAGTTCGCCGATGACCCCCTGTTGGACAATGACAGCGTCACGTTTTGATGTCAGATCGAAGGGAAGTCACTCTCACACACACACACACACACACACACACACACAGAGTGTCGACAAACACTGATGTTTATCTGAGGAATCTTCATCCTGGACTCTCCTTCTTCTTCTTCTTCTTCTGGAATTCCCCCCTGCACCACAGACCTCCGTCTGTGGTGCAGGGGGGAATTGTGAGGGACACAGTCTCCCACACTGGGGGGGTTAGGGAGGGCAATAAGACTATCTGGCTGCCTATCAAAGAGCCGTTCCCTCTGCGTGCGGAGCGTCTTTCTTTACTGTTAACACCACAGAGGAGAATCAGATTCATCATCATCAAAAAAGACGAGGAAGAAAAACTGCAGCCGCTCTCAGACTTCTGAGCCCCGTCTCCACGGAGATTAGATCTAGCTTCACATCACACTCCCTTTCAAACAAACTTCACTCCTTTCCACCGACTCCGGAGTTTGTGACGGACGATGGAACATTTAAAAACCTTTTTTCGGGAAATATACGACGTAAACAATCCGATGCTGAAGAAGCCGAGTCTTCATTGGATTAGCTAAATGACGTTCATTAGACGAGCGGAGCATCACGACCTGAAGGTGAAGGTCAACTAGAAGCACATGGTCCTGACACAGGAAACAGACGTTCCTTTGATACAAATACACACACACACATACATGTCCTTTGACACAAATACACACACACACATACATACACTCAAACGTATACATATATTTCTAACCATATATATGTACATAAATATATCCATACATATATGTATATGTTTACATAAATGTATGCATACATATATGTATATTTTTACATAAATATATCCATACATATATGTATATATTTACATACATATATCCATACATATATGCATATATTTACATAAATATATCCATACATACTGTAAATATACATAAATATATATATATTTACACACATATATCCATAGAAATATATCCACATATATACATAGAAATATATATATATACATATACACAGACACATATATATAAGTGTATATGTATATATTTTTATACATATACAGCTGACAAATGAACTATTACTATATTATTACTAACTATAACTAACTTACTAACTATAATAACTATTATAGTTATTATTAACTTATATTGGTAATTATGTGTTTCTATTTAACGCCTCCGTGCAGATACCCTGGGGTAACTTCTCTGACCCTCGGTGAACATCGAAGGTCAACATTTGTTCCAGACCGCTCAGATTTACCCCCTGTTAATTCAGCCCCACTGTGAGCTTTTCCAATTATTCTGAGAGAACTCTCCGGACTCAGTGTGGCGAGGAGGTGAGGATCCAGGCGCAGAGCCAGGATCGCTCTTCCAAGAAGGTTCACATGTCTGATCAGGAAAAATCAAAACACCAGATTGGAGTCTTTTCCCAAGACTCTTCACCCACAGGTTGGTGTAAATGTTATGGTCTACCAAGCCAAGAGCACGCAGCCCGACACCAACTGTTATGTCAACATTTGTAAAAACAAAAACATGCCGTTCTCGTGTTGATGTCTAAAAAACCCCAAAACAGAATCAAAAACCTGAGTACGCACCAGGAACTTGTCTGGATCGGCTCCTCCGGCTTGACCGACAAAGACCCCGGCACCAGCATCCAGCTCCATCTCGTCGGGCGACCTCTCGATGCGGGACACCTGAGGATCTGTGTCACAGTTGAGGTAGAACATCACCTTGTCGTCCCTCACAGCAATGGCGAACCGGGTCCAGGTGTCCCTCATCGAGTGGACGCGGAAGCTGGCCGCTTCGTACGAGCGCTCCGAGCCGGGTTCCGTGTAGTAGAGGATGACGTTCTGGTGGTTCCCCTGCACAGCTGACAGTTTCACCCCCACATACATGATCTGCTGGGGAACGTCTGTGACGGAGAAGAGAACGCCCCCCCGGTCGGAGGTGGGCTTCACATTAAAGATTAGGGAGAAGTGACGGTAGAAGGGGCTCGGCAGGTGGGCCCGGGCCAGTTGGCCCGTGTTTGCATCTGGGCCGAAGACGTATCCTGGGCTGTTGTCGGGTCCGTAGACCTGGGTGATCTCGCTGGGAGGAGGATCTCCAATCAGCTGCAGCAGAGAAACTCCACTGTCTTCTGGAAGGAGAGGGAAAAAAAATCAAACGTCAGACCAACAGACAAAAACCACAGGTGTGGGTTAGAGGGGTGGGCTGCGGGGGGTGGGGGGTGGGGAGGCTGTGATGTTAGACCAGGTTCTGTTAGACTGTTGGTGCTGGACCTGAGGTGGATGTTTGATCACTAATTAACTTTCAGCTCAGATAATCAAAAATCAAAAAATCTTGAACTCCAACATCCCAACGCGGAAAACTTGATATTCTCAACTATGTAACATCTGTAAGAATAATTATCATTTTTTCCTCCGATAATGAAAACCCGATAACACAATGCTCTGGTTTCGCCAAATAATATGCGTCCTAAAAATGTCTGTATATGAAAGTGAAAGTCACTAGATGGCAGCATTGCAGCTCATTTAATTAATCTATTTTAATAATCAGGGGAGTGTATGCAGAATGCTGGTGTCGGTAACGCAGTACAGTTGTTTGTACAGGTATCAGGTATCGGTTGATATCGGAATCGCAAAAAGTTAACATCGGATGTCCCCGCTGAGTTTTTGTGTAGAACAAAATTCTGACGTTGAACTTTTTCCTTGTGCGAAAAAAATTGGCAGGAAGTTTTTTTTTTTTAGCAGGAAATGTTACATGTTTTCTTGATGAAACACAAGCAGTACTGTGTGTACTACTGTGTGTACTGTGAATGAAATAAAGATTATTGGTTATTTACCCAGTAAACCTTTGTACTGCGTTCTAACAATGCGTGACATGGTTTGAATGTCACTGCTCCAGGCCCCCTGCATAACTCTGCCCCCTCCTCTGTCATCCATGGTGACTCAGTAATGACTGGGGGCGTGGGGGGGGGGCGAGGGTCAGGAGAAAAGCAGCGCCGACAAAGAGGGAATTTGTATTCCTTCAACATGGATCAGAGACAGTTTAGCTACAGTGTCACACGCTAAGACTGGGGGCGTCTGTTTTTTTTTTTTGTTAAAAAAGGGAGTTCAGGAAAATCACTGTTTTGGACGACGACTCCACGGACACTCTGTGGTGTTTGAAGAAAACTCTGTGGTTCACCACCTGGTGACTTATGTCCTCAGTTCAAAGCCGCGCTGCAGGAGATCAGTGAGGTCCACCGTGGGCTTTGTTGAGAGCTTAAACACAGATTGTTTTTTTTTTTAACCCAAAACTGTCTGGTTTGAACCAGAACCACGCCGTCAGTCTGTGAATCGCTGTCACGCTGTCTGAGCACCAAAAGATGCTTCGGCTCTGAGCTAACGCGCTAACCAGTCAAGCCCTAACAGCGGGCTAATAAAAATACTGTGTGGCAGGGATGACTTCATCTCCCTCAGTGTGGAGCTGACAGATCCACTCAGAGAAGATTCACGGCTCGACGTTCACATACGTGTTCCAGCCCAAATTAGGAAAAGAACGGAATTCCAGCAAAAAATTAAAGGTAGGAGCTAAAGGTATAAGGCAATAAATATCAGACGGTTATTAGGGCGTAAAGAACGTTTGTTGAGTTAATGCCAAAAATTCCAGTTGCTCTAAAACAGACTTTTAGTTTCACCAAAACGCCTCAGGCATAAATAACACGATGACACAACTGTCAGACGGACGTGAGCGACTGTCGACAGATGAACGACAGATGAAAGACTGAAATACAGCAACTCTGTGAAGGTACATTTTTAACAAATACTTCAGTATTTAGTCAGGAATAAAAACAGGTGAGAAACGCTGACATCTACCTGCTGACGTTGGTCTTTGTTTTCTAACAATATGCAGCTAAAAAAAAAAGTCTTTCTGATGAGTTTTGTTTTTATAGTTTGACATTAATTAGGAATGTCAATTTATCTCGTTTAATCTCGATTTACTATGATTAATTAACAGGATTCATCTTCATTAATCCTCAGCCACCTTGTGGTTAATCCATGACAGCACTAACATTCATACACAACATATAAAACATGTACCAACACGTCAAAGATGTCAAAGATGTCAAGGATATTACGATGTTGATTTTTTTTTTTTTTTTTTTTTTACTCCGAACTGGATGCCGTGGATCACGTGACTGCTGCAGGAACGGCAGTAAACATAAACTGTCATCTGCACCGAGTGGACCAGATGTTTGCTGGGATGAAGTGGAGGCAGAAACCTCCGGGCTCCGAGCCGGGGAGCTGCGGGGGCATGTTTGAACCTGGCTGCCCCTCTGTGCTGACTGTTTGCCAAGGCTGCTGATTTAGGAAGAACTTTGTAATAAGTCAGCGTTGACAACCTTTTTTAAAGGTGAAATCGCTTCAATTTGTCCTCCTGCTCCTCTTCCTCCTCCTGATGCTCAAACACACGCCGTCGTTGACGCAGGAATATTTCAGCACGTGCTGGAAAATATTTGGGATTTGAAGTCAAAAGATGAAAATATATTTGTCTCTGATCTGAGCCCATCCTTTAATTACAGACTATTCTGACACATTAACCGCAGGTTGGAAAACTTTACACCTACATTTTTATCGTAACAATCCCGACATCGCATTCCACGAAAGACAATCAAATTTATTAGAGATAAGATTTATCACTTATAATAACCAGTTTCCCATAATGCCCTGCTGAGGCCCCGAACCTCTATAGGGTTTATGATGGCAGCTCAGAATCCTTTCAGCAGTATTACAGTACTACTACAGTACCTGATAGTATACTTCATAATTTCACAGGTTGCAAAACAAGGAGAAAAGTACTACTACAGTACCTGATAGTATACTCGCAAAACAAGGAGAAAAGAAGAAAACACAGACAGGGGGCAGCATCCTTACTGTTAAGTTAAATGCATTACATGATGAAAGATAATTAATTTCAGATTGACCTTTCATCTGGGGTCACTTCAGCACTTCAGGTCACTGGGACTGAGGGGAGAGGTGGAATTGAACCCAAGACCACCTGCCTCACTAGAGGCCCTACAGCCAGCTGTTCACATAGGCAACATGGGCTGTCATGTAGAGCGCTATCTGCTGGAGATCCCTCAAAAAACTAACAAACAACAACATAGGCGAGCGATAGGGGGCGCCAAACATAATCATGTAGAGTCCAACAATGGCGAGAGCCCGACCCCGAATGTCTTTGAAGAAATTTCCTGGACAGATTTAAATATCAAGAAACTCTGTGATCGTTGTATCAGACTTTGAAGGAAAAAAGGAAAATAAGGCGGACAAATCTGGATAAAAAGAAGACGTTTTTAAGCGTCTTCTAAAGCCAGCCTGAAGGTCCGTCTCCGAGATGAAAATATGCCGGATGTAAAGGCATTAGCATTTTAAGTGCAACTCCTTTGTTATCCTACGACAGCTTCAAAGGCTAACGGCTGTAGAAAAGAGCCGGTGATGAATGGTGGGATTTATGGAGCGGGTTTGTCTGGTCCGGCAGACGACACTTAACTGACCGGGGACATAGCTCTTATTCATTTCCCAACATTCCAGGACGGGGTACCCCAGATTGAGATACCCTGTTGATAAAGCTGTACACACACACACTGTGGAACTGTAAACACAGCTTTGTGAAGCAAAGGTTCCGGTTCAATCCCAGGGAAAACATGTGAACATCTGGACGGGCTGGTTTCACTGACTCCACTCCATGAACCAGTCCAGTTCAGAGCGGTCGGTGCTCGGTACCGTTGATTAGTACATGACGGTCCTGAGGTTGTCATTAGGACGTTCACGGTCCTCGTGCATTTCCTACATCAGCGGCGCATGTCAGGCATTTGACTTAAAAGCGGAGGAAATTCAATTTGACCACGCGGCGCAGCAGTGGTTTGTGAGGCGTTCACCCTCTCTCTCTCTCTCTCTCTCTTTGAGCTTTGGTTTCAGTGCATGCTGTCAACTACAGTTAAACACGTTAGGTTATGCTGCATTCCAGAAAGTCAGGATTTCAGAGTACTATTCCACTTCGACTGTGCATTCCAGAAAGTCAGGATTTCAGAGCACTATTCCACTTCTACTACAGTATTCTGAGTATTTTCCTCAGTCAAAAAAGTCAATAAGAAATGTCTATATAATGAACTCTGGTGCTTTAGTAGCCTAGCTTAGCGTTTAGTAACGCCTAGCTTAGCGTTTAGTAACGCTAAGCTAAGCATCCACCATCAACAGACCAGTCAGGAGTTAGGAGCTGCAGTCTGACCTTCACTGACACAGGGGGGCGACGTGGGACGGGGCTTTACTAAATTTCATTTGATGAGCAACACCGATAAACGGCGTCCGAGTTTCCCAAAAGTTCGTGCCGTTCCACCGTAGAGAGCCGCAGCCAAAATAAATTGCTGTTGACCTTTTGACCCTGTTATGAATGGCAGCTCATCTTTGAAGCGCGGAGACCGGTAACCATGGAAAAACATAATTAAAAGGTCTATTGTGCCAACAAACAATCCTGCCCCCCCACCCCCCCTCCAGGCTGTAAAAGGTCAACATCTGACAGATTTTTAAAAAAGTTGCAGTTCATCCATGTCTTTGTGATTTTCCCACAATGCCTTCCTGCACACATGCGTGGGGGTGAAAACCCCACTTAGATTTATTGTTTATTATATTCTACCTTTAATTTCTCTGTCAATGGGTTAATGAGTAAACGTCACGTCAGATCTCGTTAGTTAAAAATGTTCAAACGATGTTGATTAATTCACCATGAAAACAAAAACTGTACTTATAAAAAAAATCTCTTTGAACCAAACAACTAATTTATATTTGACAATAACATAATTAATAATTAAGAATACTGCCCCCTAGTGGCATCAGGGAAATTTGATCCTGACCGTGGACACATATTGGTAAAAGTTGAAAGTTGACGTATTTTCAGTCGGACCCTAACCTTCAAAGTTAATCTAATTCATAATAATAGGCATGAAAATGGCTCCTTAGCGCCATCTATCGAATTTGTAAATTGCGCTAAATCCAACATCATTTCAGACAAGCTAACAGCAGGTCTGTGGTCGACCACGAACAAAACCAGAGATGCAGGTCCACGGTGTCGTGTTGCATTTAATTTGACCAATTCTTACGGACTTTGTTCAACCAGTGACATAATAATAGTTGGGGAGGGGGGCTTCAACTCTGCCATTCACCCATTGACCAGGAGTGTAAGCCCTCCCTCATCCCCCCCCAAACGTTACCCTGTCTTTAAAGGTACCAACTGAAAGGGATGCATGTACGTGATGAGACATTCCTCAGTGACAGGTCGTAGTTAAACCACGCAGGAGAGTGTTGGTATTAAGACCCCCCCCAGACCACACCCTCCCCTCAGCCCCCCCCCAAAGAGTCGGAACATTCCCA